GAGTAGCTGGGATTACAGGCACGTGCCACCATGCCCAGCTAATTTTTTGTATTTTTAGTAGAGACGGGGTTCCACCATGTTGACCAGGATGGTCTCGATCCCTTGACCTCGTGATCCACCTGCCTCGGCCTCCCAAAGTGCTGGGATTACAGGCTTGAGCCACCGCGCCCGGCTGGGATATATGGTTCTTAAACCCAGGGAAATGGGTAGGTCTTCAGCATGCCTAGTAGTAGTTAAAAATTAAGAAAGGGGGCTGGGTGCATTGGCTCACTGCCCTGTAATCTCAGCACTTGCAAAGCCAAGGTGCGTGGATCACTTGAACTCAGGAGTTTGAGACACCCATCTGCAGTCCTGGCTGCTCGGGAGGCTGAGGTGGGAGGATTGCTTGAGCCCGGGAGGCTAGGGCTGCAGTGAGCCATGATTACACTACTGCATATCAGCCTGGGTGACAGAATAAGACCCTGTCTAAAAAAAAGGGAAAGGTAAGACTGTCAGTAACAACTAAGAACAGAATCCTTCGTTATACAATGTTTAAGGAACAAAAAGAGGAAGATATGCTCTTGTGCAGGAAATGCAGCAAAAAATAAATGGTGCAGGGGGAACCAGGAGAGTATGAGACTGTGACTGTCAAGGGTATTTAGAGTTTTCAAGGAGAATGTGAGGGACGATGGTAAATATAGGAGAGATGTCAACAAAACAAAACAAAAAAACTGCCTGTAGTTCCAGCTACTCAGGAGGCTAAGGCAGGAGGATCACTTGAGCACAGGAGTTAAGGCAGTACACTATGGTCACACCTGGGAATAGCCTCTGTACTCCAGCCTGGGCAACATAGTGAGAACTTTGTCTCTCTAAAAAACAAAACAAAACAGCAAAAAACAATTGTGTACTAAACATTTTTTACTCTTCTTACAAGCATACTTAACTCCTTTGCTCCTTTACTTCAACCCAACTTCTCTAACCACCTTGGCTTCAGTTTCATTGAGAAATTTGAAGTCATCAGGCATGAACAGCCCCAAATGTGCCCTCCCTTCTTCCCTTTACAGACGTACCACCATGCCTATCCATCCTTTCCTCTTTCCTTCCAATCTCAGGACATTCAAAGCCAACTCTTCCACTAGTGCCATTGATACCAAGAATTGTCTACACTTTCTGTTTATGCTTTGTCCCTTTTTATGATTTTTGCTCCTAGTATTCCAGTAAAATTTTTCCCAGTAAGGGGACAATTTGAAATTTTAGTTGATGGGGTGGAAGTGAAAAACTACGACAAGGTGTTAAATATTGAATACAGGTAGGGGAATAGCAATATAAATTGCAGATAGCAGTCACTGATGAGGTGAGAGGGAGATAATGCCAGTGCTCCTCCCCAGGCAACTGTAGACATTCACATGGACCAGATTCAGGTACTATTCCAGAGTGTCTTACCTGTCCTCCTTCTATGCCAAGCCAGTGATTGAATCTTCATTGTAGAAGCAAAAATGAGCTGGTTCCCACAATAAATGAGACACATGAGATTTCATTCATATGTTCATTTGTGCAAAAGTATTTCTTGAATGTCTGCTATGTGCCATACTCAGGGTTAGGTGCTGGGAATATAATGCGGAGAAAAACACAAAGTTCTTGTTTTAGTGGCATTTATAGAATAGTGATTTGATTTGTCTTTTGTTTGTCTGTCTCTAACTTAAATTTGTTTAACTAATTTTACTTTTTTTCCCCTTTAGTATCCTCTTATATATGGACTGATTCTTATTCCCTGCTGGTGTTTTCTAGTTTGCCTAAGTAGAATTTACATGGGAATGCACTCCATTCTGGTAAGGAAAATATTGTGTTCTTATACTTTATTTTTTATGACATTGACAGGCAATTTTATAATGTTTAATCATTTGCAAACTTACCCAAAGCCTAAATGAGAAAATATAGTTACTGTAAGTCTTCTTTGTTTTGCAAAAGTATCAACATGATGCTTTGTGAAGTTTTTTTTTTTTTTTAAGACGGGGTTTCACCATGTTCGTCAGGCTGGTCTTGAACTCCCGACCTCAGGTGATCCGCCCGCCTTGACCTCCAAAGTGCTTGGATTACAGGCGTGAGCCACCACGCCCGGCCGCTTTATGAAGCGTGAAAGTAGTAGTCATGTATTTCACAGAAACAGTTTCCAGCAATCACAATAGTCAAGTACTATAATCAAGATAACATTTCTTCCTCCTTCCAGTCTCACTTTTATTTTCCTTTGCAGTCTTTTCTGTTTCTCTTCTATCACTGAGTCAAAACCAGCAATGTGACTACAGAAATTAAGCAGAGCTCCGAAGTATTGTTGAAGACCTAGTGACTAGAAACTATGTGAAGTTAAATTATCCAGGGGCCATTTGTATTTACATATTAAATACAGGATATCAAGATCAGCCTGGGCAACATAGCGAAACCCCTTCTTTATAAACACACACACACACACACACACACACACACACACAC